GCTAACCAACAGGAGGAGAGCTAGTAACGTTAGTAGCACCGCTAACGGCTAACCAACAGGAGGAGAGCTAGTAACGTTAGCAGCACTGCTAACGGCTAACCAACGGAGGTTCACTTCAGTTACATCATGATGCCTTCAGGCTCTGCTCAGTGAACATGAGTACTGGCTGAAGGTACATTATAACGTTATCATGATGTGTTCACATGTCATCTGTAAAATGTAGTTTTGGTGATAAACTTGAATAAATCCAGTAGTTTGAAGGAGATGTTTTCACATGAATATAAAACAGAGATTTAAATTACATCTTTTACATAATTAAAGCAAAGTACAAGTAATATTTGCTCCCTTTCTCCTTGATGCTGATCTGATTTATGAGTTTTATGATCCGTTGCTCCACTAACTCATATTATCATCATCTCTTCTATTATTCTTACTACATGCTTGTAAAGTTTAAATGATGCAGAACTGTCATTTTAATCTTAAATTCTATTTTTAAGGGTGACTTTTTTTTAACATCTGTCGAGGGACTAAAGATTAAAAATAGACTCTTGCCGTTTTATTAATGTCCCTATTTAATAAAACAATAAAAACATATATATGGGCTGTGGTTTATTCCTAGAAACTCTCAGAGACTGAACTCAGACTGCACTAAAGCAACGTGACGATGTTTCTCTGTGGCTTCACTGTGTGTAGTGTATCGTATGAAACAGCAGGGGGCGCTGTAGCTCAAGTAGACGGCGTGTTTGAGAGCGACTGCAGTGGATCTCTGTGTTAAAGACCTGGTGAGTGCTGCGAGGTGGCCAGTGAGGTCATGGAGTTGGACAGGTTGAGGTTGGCAGTGATGCTGAGCTGGCTCTGGCTGGTGGGGGGGTAGGGGGAGGTGGGCGTCCTCAGCTGCTCCTCCCCTCGCTCCTCGTCGGCCGCCGGCAGGTAGCTGTCGATCAACGCCTCCAGGAACTTCACGATCAGCTCGGCGTAGTCGGGGATCTGTGTTTGCTGCACGGTGAGTAGAGCGAGTTACACGTGAGCTTTCGATGAACTCTTTAACACAAGTGACCACGGAGTTTCGGTCACTCGCATTCATACACTCATTCATACAAGACGCACACAGTCAGTACGCACACTTTAACTAAGACGCATGCATACTTTAGTAGGACACACACACACACACACACACACACACACACACACACACACACACA